TTTTGAAAACCCCCCCCCCCCCCCCCCCCCCCTCGGGTATATAGGGAGAGCTTTCTTTTTATATGATGGACATTGAGCCCGTTCCTCAAACAACTGTATGCTTTAATTCCTTATCCACGGCTCCTTCAGCATCATCACCCCCTATAATTCATTCTTTAGCTAATATGTCTACCTCAATACAACTTAAATACTCAACCCTTTTAACCCCTCCTCTACCCTTATTCCACCCAACTCATATAACAAACTCAAAGTGACAGCAAGGGAGAAGGTATTTACACACGGCCAGGTAAGTCTTATGGACCATTTGCAGCTCCAATCTCTCTATCCTTCTTCACTGAGTGCTATTTCTTTCCAATCCTTACCGGATCTATGAAAATGTGGAGTTCAATTGGAATGCAACTGATAGAAAGATCAAATTTAGGATGCCTCTGTCTTAGAATAGCCACATGCAGATATCTACCACAATATTTAAGAAGGAGACCTACAATAAAGGTTAACAGCAGACTATTTTGGTGGGCTGGAAAAATCAGTATGTTCGGTGTTGAGTGAAGGAGATTACCAAGAAGAGCACAGTGATTAAATGCTTACAATTGTTTGATGTTTCCCTGGTCCACTTTTTCCCTTACAGTGTAACAAGTTAACCTGGGGACAAATCAGCATCTCAATTATGTTTCTTTTAGTTGTTTGTCTTCCAGAAATCTTTAGAACATTTAGCACACTAAGGCCTTGTTCACACCAAATGCAGAGCAGATCTGCATGAGTTTCTGCACACGCAGTGCAGTGGGTTGTGCCGCGTTTTTGATGCGTTCTGGGCCGTTTTTGGGTAAATAAATTAAAATATATATTTTTTCATTTAAAATGGGCTTTCAGTGCGTTCCAGGGCGTTTGCATGCGTTTTTGATGCGTTTGCATGCGTTCCAGAGCAGGTCCAGAGCAGGTAGAATAGGGCTTGCTGCAGTTTTTTTTACCTGCTCTGGAACTGAACGCTGCGATGTGAACTGGAGCTAAAAATACCATTGGAATACATTGGACGCAGTTTTGATCCGGTCTGTAACTGCTCTGCTCGGCTCCTGGAACGCGCTTGGTGTGAACAAGGCCTTAAATGTAAACTGCAGGCACATGTATAAAATGTTGTTGTGTTAAAAATAATTAAATGTATTACTACATTCAACTAGCATATTCAGCCTGGCATAACAGCACTCACAATGGAAGAGAGAGAGGGGTAGCACTGGGAATTAATGAGGCTCGTCTGCATGCACAGGTACTGACAAGGTACAGGCTGATAAAAGACAGCAGAGTGAGTTGATGACTTATCAGTGTGTTGCTGCTCCTTCATTGCCCAATCAACAGGCTGCAGATATGGAGGTGACCCCGCTGTCTTCTTTAATTGTAAAGGTGCCCATACACCTTACGACCATCGCAAGACTTTTGTCTTGCGATGGTCGTATGCTTCTTGAAAGCCCGTACGATCTGCCCACCTTGGACGGGCAGATCGTACTTGCGATCATTGAAATCTGCAATGCAGAACGTGCACACACCGGCCCGTTCCGCAGCTATCGGGCGAGCAGGCTAGAAACCCGCCAAGAATCGTACGATTCTCGGCGGGTTTTCGAACATGTTGGCTCGACAAAATACGTGCGACCGTACAGTAGAAACGGTCGCACGTCTTAGTTCACACTGCTCGATTCTCGTACGATCGCGGGATTTCGCCCGAGAATCGAGCAGTGTATGAGCACCTTAACAGAGAAAGCGGTGTCACTTTTCTGGCTATGCTGCCTTGCAGAGACCTATAAAATCACAAAAGTGGCTGGACGGAACAGCCAGTCCTTTGGCAGATTAAGTAGTTTACATGTGTGTTTTAACAGTCTATTCAGCTGTTTGCCTGGAGTTCAGCTTTAGCTGTTCTGCTTTCTATCTGTGTTTATGCACAACCTGCTTTATTCAATTTTCAGAAAAGATTCTAAAGAAGCAATGAAAAATAAGAGGAAGGAAAGTCATATGATGTACATGAAAGGTAAACTATAATGGTGTTGGATCAATGTATTTTTTAATGGTCTAAAATGTTTATTTATAACAAACTTATATTACAGGGCACGTTCATGACATTAAAGAAGAACTCCAGGGAACATTTTTCTTAACCCTTGCAATACGGGGTAGCCTAGCCGGCTTTGGATGCTATAACACGCCCAGCAATCTTTGCATGCCATAGGAAAGCCCAGACCCCTTATCACAATTAAGGAATATTTTTTTCTTATTAAGCCTTGCAGTGGGCTTACCCCCACACTTCAAGGGTTAAGTGCTTGTTTTGGTCTAGGTTCAAAAATAAAAAAAAATTATACTGACCTGATCCTTGGAGCCAGATTGCCTTTAGATCGCTCCTTCCAGTGTCTCGCCCTCTCCACTGCAGCGGTCTAAAAATCTTCGAGTCATTACATTCTATTCAGCGTATAGGACGTAAAGATGCCGAGGGATATACCCTCCGCTGCCGCGATGGCAGCAGAAGGAGAGCTTTGACAGCTGGCCGCCTCCGAAGTTCGGGCGAGTTTAAGTTTTTTTTCTTTTTGTACCTAGCAAAATTAGCACATATACCTTGTAGTGCGGGGCTGGGCCCACATGTAAGGGTTAAGAAAATTTTCCCTGGAGTTCTTTAAACTTGATAAGCCAGCTGGGCTTTCCTATAGGATGCAAAGATTGCTGGGCATTTTATAACATCCAAAGTCTGCTGGGCTATCTTTCTTTAGCCTGCAAGCTTTTTGGCTGCCTCTGCAGACCTACTATTTAAGACAAAAGGATAGGGCTGTTTCTAACCTTTGACTCATTCAGCTTTAGCATAACACAGCTCGCACAGACTCCACAACTGCTGGATGTGAATGGAAAATATTAAATATTCATATAATGTATCTAACATTCACCTGATTAAAAAAAAATAGAATATAACAAACAAAAACAAATAGAGAAAAGAGAAACACTATTCAGGGTTATTCACTAAAGGGTGAAGAGTTTGGAGAAGGCAGGAGAAGTGAACAATCTAGGACAACATAGCTGAACTGGAAAAAGTATCCAATTCAGATCACTTTCCAGTTCAGCTATGTTGTGCTAGATTGTTCGGTTCTCCTCCATTCTCCAAACTCTTCACCCTTTTGTGAATAACCTTGTATATATGCCACTGTCCTCTAATAGGGGCACCAAAAAACTTCCACAAAGTGTAGTAATATCACAAAATCTCACTCCAAATCTCCTGAGACCAGCAGTCAGAAGCAGGGTCGTCCCCAGGCCGGGTTTCACCCGGGGGCGGAGACCAGGTGACACCCCGCCGTGACGTCTTTGAGCACGCGCGTGACGTTGCCGTGCGATGACGTCATCGCGCAACCGCGGAGGTCTTTTTGACTCCTGCCGGCGGCTATCTTGGTGATGGAAGCCAGCAGAGAGAGATGGTTCAGCCGGCGGGATGAGGTATGCAGCCGGGTCCCCTCCTCTCTCGGGCTCTCGGTCCGTGACCGAGAGCCTGACTTTTCATAGTAGGGGACACAAAAATGACTTTCAATCATTTTGGTTTCACCCCTTCAATGGTGGCACCCGGGTGCACCACCCGCACCCCCCTTGTGATGCCACTGGTCAGAAGCACAATGCTTTAAGCTGGCCATACACCAAACATTTTTTCTCATACAGCAAAG